CCCCCCCCCAGTCATCTTTTCTAAAGTAAAAAGTCCCAGAATCTTCAGCCTTTCATCATAGGGAAAGTGCTCCCAATTTCCTAACCATCTTGGTTGCCCTCCAGTCCTCTTTACTTTTCCCAACTCTGCAATGTCCTTTTTGAAATCTGGTGGCCAGAACTGTCTACAGTATTCTAAATGAGGCTGCACCATAGATCTGTACAGGGGTGTTACAATATTGGCTGTTTTATTCTCAGTCCTTTTCCGAATAACCCCAAACACAGAGTTTGCCTTTTTTACTGCTGCAGCACACTGGTCTGACACTTTCATTGAGCTATCTACTGCGACCCCAAGATCTTTTTCCTTCACAGTCTCAGGAAGTTCAGACACCCTTGGCCTGTCCCTGAAGTTGGCATTTGTTGGTCCCAGTGTGCACCGCCTTACACTTACCGACATTGAACTTCATTTGCCACACTGTCGCCCACTCACCCAGTTTGTGGAGGTCTTCTTGGAGCTCTTCACAGTCAGCCTTGGTTTTCACCCTCCTGAATGATTTTGTGTCATCTGCAAATTTGGCCTCTACACTACTCACCCCAGTTCCAGATCATTTCTGAATGAATTAAATAGTACTGGCCCCAATACCAATCCTTGTGGGACCTCACTGCCTACTTCCTTCCATTGTGAGAACTGTCTGTTTATTCCTATCCTTTGCTTCCTGTCATATAATCGGTTTTTAATCCATAAGAGAACACGTTCTCTTATCCCATGACTGCTAAATTTACTCTGGAATCTTTGGTGAGGTACCTTGTCAAAGGCCTTCTGAAAGTCCCCAGATATAATGTCCATGGGGTCACTGTTGCTAGTGGAGAAGATTGCAGTGTAAAAAATGAAGTAAGACATATGTGTAGGGTACAATTTTTGACAACCCATTAATTGAAATGATAGAGGCAGACCACCAGTCAAGTTTTTTGTAACAAGCTTTATCTGCAGGAAAGCAAGTGGAACCTTTCTCTCGAATCAAAGGTTCCCCGAACACAGCATTTTAAACACAAGCATTTCCTCCCCCGACCACAAAAGCCCTGCCTTCAACTTTGATTGGGTGAAGTGCACAATATTTCCGGTACGCCTTTTACACATCTCTTTGATATGTCCTCCCCCCCGCCCGGTACATGGATTGTATATTCATGCAAACAAGGCATTATCTATGCAGAGGTGTGTCATTTAATATTCATCAGCTTAATTATGCCTGCACTGTGCCTAAGAGTTCCTTGACCTTTCTGTTACTAGGCAGAAGCTTGTGGTTTTTCTCTGAAATGTACCTACCGACTGTTTCTGTGAAAATACTGCAGGTGTTCTAGTAAGATGTTGACCGCAAGCTAGCTTTCTACAAAGTTCATGTCTGGTTCAGCAACAAAGAAGTAAAGCCTATTTTTTACTAGCAGACAAAAAGACTTATAACATTAGGGTCTCAATGATTTCTTCTCTTGGCAGATCAGAAGATTTCTTATATAAGTGTCTTCCAAGATTTCCCTATCACAAGCTTGCCATGATTTGATGAGTTCTTCCCAAAATTCACTTTTTCCTCCCCTACATAGTGGTCTCCCATTCCAGTCCCAGAACACTCCCGCCATATCTAGGGGCTGTCAT